AAAATAAGAATAAAACTAATTTCTAAAAAACCATAAAGTTTGAGGACATGACTTGCAATAAAAAATCATTTCATTAAGGGTAAAATTGACTTTTTTATAAAAAAACTCAAATGGGCCATTTGACCCGGCTATTTTGGAAAATCTCCCCACTTTTAGGGATATCAATGTGCCTCGTCGACTTGGGCGGCACGTGGCTCGTTCCAGTAAAAGTCCGAGTCTAGCCGACTTGTGCTCGGAGCCCCATTTTGGGACGTTGGCTAGAGCCTGAGCTCGAGCCAGCCAGTGTAGCTCTAGCTACAAGGGCCTCTTCGGTCCGTGACGAGTCGAGCCTATAAAAAAAGAAAGTTGTAATTTGCAAAGCTTAAAAAAAAATTTAAAAATAAGATAAAATTACAGCTGTAATTGCAGGCAGCTAAAATTACAGTTACCTACAACCATATTGCTTATATTAAAAAAAAAAAATGCCGGCTCGGCTGATGCCTAAATTTTTTTGCCCGGACTTTTGCTCGGCTCGGCTTGATTCGTTGACATTCCTACCCACTTCTTATAGGTCCTTTGGTGAGTCCTTTTCTCACCCAGAATCGGAATCCAGGAATACATTATGCACTCTTCTTTTATTTTGTTATTTCGTTGCTTTGTATTCCTTTACACACTTTGATGTGTTTCAATGTTCATTTCTTTTTATTTTGTTCATTTTTTTTTTTCTGTTTTTGGGATCTTTCTTATTTTCTAATGTAGTTTTAACTCTACGTTGTAGGCAATCTTCATTCCCGATAGATTATCTCCTAAACATTGGTGATGAATACGGTCAATTTACTTCAGATTTGCATTATAAAATAACAATCAGAATAATGTTGTTAATCTCGTTCTGACTCCATAACCCTCTTGACCCTAAAAAAAATAAGCTGGGACATTATGTGACTATTTTAGAAGTGCACTAGACAATGTCTCCAATATTTGGGTCTACTATTCTTGTAAATTATTTTTACTGTGTTATTTTGAACTCAAAAGTTAAGGAATTGAATAAATATGTTTTCTATTTCATGTTCATTGTTAGTTAGTTTGTATATTTAATTGAATTTTAGCTTTTTATGAGCATAAACTTTAATATATTAAATTTCCAAGAAATGATTAACTAAATTAGTAATCCAATTTTTTTTTAAAAAAATTAAAATCAAATTTGCGACGGAAATAGCGGCATTTCGTTGTTAATCATCAACATACTTTAATTAGTAGGTAATTTGCGATTAAAAAAAATTCTCGCTAATGTTGTTGCTAATTAACAACAGATACAGTAGTCGATAAATATCGACGGAATATTCCGTTGCTAATTTACCGATGGACAGAGAATTCCGTCGATAAATTCCGGCGAGGGTTTCACTATTGGTTTTATGGACGAAAGTTTTTCGTTGATAAAACCTATTAGCAACGGATATCGGGGCTTTAGCGACGGCTTATAATTGTTTTGTTATTGCCTCTACACATTTTGATGTGTTTCAATGTTCATTTCTTTTTATTTTGTTCATTTTTTTTTTCTGTTTTTGGGATTTTTCTTATTTCTTGAATTTCTTTTTATTTTGTTCATTTTTTCCCGTTTTCGGGATCTTTCTTATTTTCTTTAATTTCTTTTTATTTTGTTCATTTTTTCCTTTTTTGGGATCTTTCTTATTTTCTATTGTAGTTTTAACTCTATGTTGTAGGCAGTCTTCATTCTCGATAGATTATCTCCTAAATATTGGTGATGAATATGGTCAATTTACCTAAGATTTACATTATAGACAGTTTTCATCCCGGAAAGATTATTATGGTCAATTTACTTAAAATTAGCTTCGCACTGTAATGTAGATAACTTTTTTCTGTGTAATGCCTTTTCACATTTTTTAGGTCAATGATAAGAATTGAAGAAAGTAAAGTGGTGATGTTCTTGGTTTTGGATGAATGTGATCACCCTAAACTTATTATTAAAATATAATTGCAAGCTAGTTAATTTACTCAACTAATTTGAAAGTTATCCATAAATGCAATGAAGAATGAATTGCGCTATTTGTTCAAAAGTGAGTATAACATAATGGAAATTATGTAACAATTGAAAGTGATTTGAATAAGTAAATTATTATCATAGAATATGAACCACATTATTTAAGTCAAATCGCACACAATCATACACAATAAAGTTAAACATTTTCCTTGAAAAATGGAAAAAAAAATTCATTTTCCACCTTTAAGCCATGTTTGATGGCTTAAATTTTCCCTAGAAAAAGTT